TCTTGACCTGATGAGCCACGCCACCAGCCTAGATACAGGTTTGATGTCAGCCAGCTCTTTGCAGTTGATGAAACCGAGTCATTTGACCTGGGGACACGGAGAGCTCTTTGTTCTTGCCATTGTGCGTATTTGCACACCAGAAGATCGATGTGTGTGATGCCACCCACTTGTACTAGTACTGGGGAGGCCAAGGCAGGGAAATGGCAAGTTCAAGGCCACTCTTGGCTACACAGTAAGATTGTGTCTCAAAAAACAACACAAGGCTGGGGATGTAGCTCAGCTGGGAGAGTACTTGCTTACCACGCAGGAAGCCCTGGGTTGCATTTTCAACACCACATAAACAGATCCTGTTGGTATGCTTGAACCTCAGTACTTAGAAGATGGAGGCAAAATGATCAGATGTTCAAAAACATGGCTTCACGGCAACTATGAAGTCGGCCTGGGATACAGGGGACAGGGTGCACTATATAACATCAGAGACACAGTTTTGCTTTCCTGAAACCCAAGGCAATCCGAATCCTGAACACAGCTGCTGCCACCACCACATCAACCGCCACCGCCGTCAACAACGGCAGACTGATGGTTTAAGAGGAATTGAGCCTAGGTCTGAAGATAACCCTCTGGCTGTAGAGCTGGTTCAGTTATTAAAAGTACTTGCTGTACAAGATGAAGATGGAAGTTGGGAGCCCAGAATCCAGGTAATAATCAAGTGTCCTATGCACACCTGTAACCCCAGCTCGAAGGTAAGCGGAAACAGGAGGGTCACTGGGGCTTGCTGAGGAAACGTGAGGCCAAGGTTCAGGGAGACATCTTATTTCAGCAGAACAAATGTATAGTGATAGAGGAGGAAATAGATGCACTCTTCTGTCCTCCATGTACAGGCACATGTGCACACACACATACACACATGTACACACACACACACACACACACACACACACACACACACACACACACACACCCTCAGTGGTAGAGGGGTATTTGGCAATGCCCAGAGATATGTTTGGTTGCCGTCACTGAGAGGAAGAGGGGTACTTATATCTGGTGGACAGAAGCCAGGGATGCTGGGAAATATCTCACACTGCACAGGGCATCCCCATAACCAAGCACTGCCCACTCTAGGCCAGTAGTGTTGAGGCTGAGAATGCAGTCCTAACGTAAGGAAGCACTTACGTTAGAGACTCATCTGATTGCTTCCTGATGGCAACCCCCTATCCTGACCCCAGCCAACCTGACCCCTGCTGCCCCACCATACACACCCAACAAAGCCCACCCTGCTCCCAGTGAAGCCAGGCTGTTCCTCCAGTCTGGGTGACGGTTGGAAGTCCCAGCTGAGGGCCACGAAGGGCAGTGAACACACGGTCTTTCCTCTCTGATGTGGGATGTGCATAAGGAAGTGGAAACTGTTACAGTAATGTAACTAATGCTTTAAAATTAAAGGTGGATTTTACTTTTTTTGTTTTTTGTTTTTTTGTCTTTTCGTTTTGTCTTGGGAGACAGGAAAGGCAAACCCTTGTCTTTTGTGACTTTGAGTCGCCAGCAGAGGGCAGACAACGCTTACCTAAAGGAAAAACTCAGGCTCTGGACCTCCAGGAAGCCAGGACCGGGAACCATCCAAGGCTGGTGTCTCCACGCTGTTGTCAAAACGCAGTCGGGGCTGAGTTAGGATTCTTTATCTCAGAAGATTAGCTGCCTCCTTTTATGTGACAGTAATTTGGAGGTGAAATACTTAAATAATTTATATAAAATACAAATTTTTTTCATTAAAAATAATGCACGGCCATTAAAGTTCAAAAATAAAAAATACAAACAACAAACAAACAAACAGACAGCACATTAGAAACACGATTCAGAGATGACGAGCACCGACCATGACCGCTGAGGGGCTCTGGAGCTTTTTTGGGTGCCATCTTTTTTCTGTTACAGTTTCTAAGATGTTTTTGTAGTAAAGAGAAATGTTTGCCTGTGCTGGGAGTTCATCTTCCCCTGACTTTTCTCATAGCACACCTGGGAAATCTTCCTAAAGTTCTTTCTGAAAATCCAGCTCCTAGGTAGGTTTTAAAAAGCTGAGCTCCACTGTCTTGTAGCTATTCTTTCTGTTTGGTGCCACTGCCCCTGTGACTCTCTTATGGCATTTACCTCCTTGTGCTTTATATTGTGATTTTTATCTACTGTTGTGTTTGAATGTGGGAGTCCTACTTCATTAGTTTCTCACACACCCCAGGCTGGCCTTGAACTCACTGTGTAGCCAGGGATGATCTTGAATTTCTGATCTTCTTACCTCCATCTCTCCAGTGCTGGAATTACAGGCACATGCAGGATTTATGCAGCGCTGGGCATTGAACCCATGGCTTTGTGCAAGCCAGGCAAGCACTCTGCCGACTGAGCTATGCTCCCAGTCTGCTTCACTTTCTTCTGTCTTCCATAGCCCTTTCTCAAGGCCATCCCATTATAGTCACTAGTGTTTGTGGGGGGAAGGATGGGAAAGAGGAAAAAGACGAGGAGAAAACGAGGGAAAGACAGGAGTGATGGAAAGAGGAGAGGAAGGAGGTTGCTTTAAGTGGCCACAAACTTTCGAAGAAGACAGGAGGACATCATTCCAGCTTCACAGAGAGGGCCAGGGAGGCAAAATACCCCCGCTTATAATGCCATTTGGGAAGAGTTTTCAGATGCACAGCACTTGACATTTGAGGATGGCTGTGGGTTGAATTGTGTCTTCCGAAATGACATAAAGTGCCATCAGAGCATGTGACCTTGTTTGGAAAGAGGTGTTTGTGGATGCAATCAAATTAAGATGAGGCTTTCTTGGATTAGAGTGGACTGTGAACCCATGACTGGAACTTTTATGAGAGGAGGGAGCTGTAGGCAGGCACACACACACAGAGGAAGGAGAGCAGCTGTTTGAATGAGGATGGAGATGGAAACTGGAATGATGTAGCTGCAAGCCAAGGAATGCTGGACCTTGCTGGCAGCATCAGAAGCCGAAATAGGCAGGAAAGGATTCTTTTCTGGAGTCTTCATGAAGAGAATGGCCCTGGAGACGCGTTGTTTTCTTACTTCTCCTCTTTAGAACTGTGATAGAGTAAATCTATTTATTATAAACACTGATGTCTACTAATATTCATGGTAATTTGCTATAATAACAGAAGGAAATTAATGCAATGTGTTAGTAATTCTTTGTATCAATGGACAATTTAGCGGAGTCCTAAGGATGTTTGGGAGGAAGGTAAGATTCTAAGGAGATAAAGGACTTTTTGGTGAGGGCCAGACTGAAGGAGACTATTGGATGGGTTCATAGATAGCTTTAGGTTTCTTGCTAGAATCTAGCACAGGCAAATTCTTGTTCTTTTCCTTTGTCATCTGTTCCTCCACTTCCTACTCATTCTTATCTTTATTCTCATTCTTCTCTGTATGTCTGTGCGTGAGTGTGCAGATGCCAGAGGTCAATGTCTGGTGCTCTCTATTGCTCTTCACATTTTTTTTTGGCTACACTTGATTTTCTTCTGGCATACTGACTTTGAAACGTGGCCTTTATGTAAGATGGATCTCTACTCTTTTAAATTCTAGGATGTATTTGATGACCTTAAATTTCTAGAGCCAGACATCCTGATTCATTTAAAACAATATTTTTATTATACAGTCCTTGGTAATTTCATACGTGAATACAATGAACTCATATCATATCCACCCTTACTCCCTCAACTCCTCCAAGACTCCCGCATGCCCTCCTCCCAACTTCATGCCTTTTTCCTTTTGTTTTTATAACCCCGGATCCAGTTAGTGCTGTCTGCATGTGCAGGAGCGCAGGGCTGTTCGCTGGAGCATGCGCAGTCCTGCCACTCCACCCTATGTCTTGAGAGAGTATCATTATTTTGTCTCGACAGGCTTGCCAGAGAGCCCTGAGAGCTGCCTCTTTCTGCCTGTCCCAGAGCTGGCTTACAAGATGTGTGCCACGCCTGGCTTTTATGCAGGTACTGGGAATGGAATTCGAGTGTAAGGGAAGCACTGACTGAGCCAGAAGGTCTTTGAAGGCTGTAGCTAAAGTCTGATATCTCGATTTCTCGTTTGTCGCCAGGACTATTCCTAATTGCACGTGGCAGCAACTGGCACCTTGTTAGCGCCTGTGTAGTTCCTGTTTCATCACGATGTGTTGCAACCGATTATGTAAGAAGCTGAGAGGTGGTAGATACCAAGATCAAGTTTTCAGAACGAAAATAAGGGCTCAGTGCTCCCAGCATTCGTTTGCCCATCACCCTCCTGAGTGCTTACGGGATTCTGATTATTAAATTATAGTTGGGAGATGATTGACAATGCAGGAAGACCGAATCTCCCCTCTGAAATAAGACAAATGCTTCGCCCACTCTCATGACCCATGTAAAGGGCATGGAGAGCTCAATCCTTAGGATGAAATAACTTGGTGATGGCTGTGAGAAATTGCTGCTAGAGAAATGTCACAATCACCTTCCATGGTAGGAAAATACATCAGGGACACCTACATAACTTTCCACAGATTCTCAGGGATGCTTTCTATGCCGCCAGCTTTGCACAACTATTGTGAAGATTATAATAACAATAACTATCATGATTGGACAGAAACATTAGCAGACACTACTCCAGAAAGACTTAGATTAGGTGCCTAGCACTGAATGATTGTAGCATTTACTCAATGAAAATTTGCTGTGTGAATTAGATGAACAACTAAATGAGTGAATAAAGCCGTAGGGTTGGATCCTCACAGAAGTGTCCTTCATGGCTTTGTTACTGAGCATGCTTCTGTAGTTTCCTGGCAAGATGTCTAGGAATAAGAGAGGCTCAGTGGGTACTGATAGAACATGGCTAGAGCCATTACTTTAAAGTAGTGTCTCAGTTAGGTTTTTATGGCTGTGAAGAGACACCATGACCATGGCAACTGTTATAAGGAAAACATTTAATTGTGGTGGTGGCTTACAGTTTCAGAGGTTCAGTCCATTACCATCATGTCAGGAAGCGTGGTGGTGTGCAGGCAGACATTGTGCTGGAGAAGTAGCTGAGAGTCCTACAACTTGCAGGCAACAGAAAGTCAACTGTGACACTGAGCAAAGCTTAAACAAAAGAGACCTCAAAGCCTGCCCCTACAGTGACACCCTTCTTTCAACAAGGCCACACCTCCTAATAGTACCATTCTCCATGAGATTATTACAAGTAGTAATGAGTTCTGATTTTTCCCGATTATCTCCGGTCATTTCAGGGTCACTGGTTCCTGAGCATATGAGTGGGTTACTTCCAGCTCAACCTTCAGCATCTTGGCCAGGCAACTAATGAGAGCTGCTGAGTGATAACCACCGGCTAATGTGCCTGAACTGGCAGACCTTCCACACCACGAGACAAGCACATGTTTGTCTTTGCTCTAGTTTGGTAAGTTTTGGAGGTAACTTGTTTGTAGAAACAAATGACTAAATATCTACAAGCTACATTTTGTCACCAACAAGGGTTGTTGAGTCTGCAGTTGAAGCATTTGCCAACTATAAATAATTTTCGTTACCTACACTCTTCTTGTTCTAACTTAGGCCTTTATCACCTCTTTCCCAGACTGCTGCAATCTCTCCCTGTTGGTTTTCTTGCTTGTAATTAACTTCTCCCCTACCTCTACTGGGTCCTTTGCATTGACATTCATTACTATACAAAATACAGACCCAATACTGCTATTCTCCTGCTACCTCAGTCAGAGTGGCCTGTGGCTTTATCGCAGCAATTAAACAACCTGTGAATCAAAGTGGCTAAGACAAACAAGGCCACTGACACTCTTCAGGGCACTCTGTTCATGGTACCCACTCAGGAACAATCTTAACATTCTTGGTCATTGTCTAGAAGTGAATCAGGGGATGGCAGAGCACTCACTGGTTCTTAAATGTACACAGGGAGGTGACCCATGTCACTTTTATTAACATTAAGATGGCCCAAACAAGACACACAGTCACTTCTAACTTTTCATCGACAGAGAATTCTGTCTGGCCATGTACCTGCTTAAAATGTGTACTGGGCTTGCCTCAGTCCTAAGCCTCAATGCTAGGTGCTGTGCAGAACACATCAGCCCCTTTGTGACTGGGGTACCTGCTTCTTCAACAGTGTCTTCTGCTGCTATTCGCTCTCCATTCAATGCTGGTCCAGTTCCTTTGAGTTGCTTGCCTTTCTAGAAGAACTCTGTATTTTCTTCCCTTCAATCATCCCCATGTATTAATATGTAATATATAAATGTGTGTGTGTGTGTGTGTGTGTGTGTGTGTGTGGTTATCAGTGGAAGGGAGAGTTTTTCTTTCCAACACCTGTTAAAAATCCAGATGTTAGTGTCTAGATGGCTCGGTGGGTAAGAGCACTGGATACTCTTCCAGAAGACCTGGATTTGGTTTCCAAACTCAGTTGATTCCCAGCACCACATAATGGCTCACAACTATCTGTAACTCCAGCTCCGGGGATCTGGTGGCCTCTTGTGGCCTCCATGGGCTCTATATGCGCATGGTACAGACACAAACATGCAGGTCAAACACCAATACACATAATAAAACAACAATAAAAAATCAGCATGTTACTTGGGAAGGGTAGCACTTAAGCTGATATCTCCCTAATAATACCAAACTAATAAAATTTTAGGTGCAGAATCTGGAGTGTAGGATGATGTATTTTCTAAGTCAGATTATAAATTAAGAGTGCTCTTGGTCTCATATTGATTATATATTGACCTGATAATGTTTCATGCCTATTATAGTATCTACCTAAAAATATATTGTTTAAATGAATCTCATTCTCACCAATCTTTCTTTCTTCCTTTCATCAAATAGTGTCTTATTATGTAATCCCAGCTTGTCTGGAACTTGCTATATAGACTGGCTGCTTTTCATGTGATGAATAGTTTCTAAGGCTGTAAATGGGCATCTTTGGGGAACATTGGCTCTGAAGAGCTGGTGGGACTTGAGCTGAATCTCAGCTGTGCCCCTAGCCACCGTGTGAAGAGCCCAGCAGTCTCAAATAGGTGCTGATCCTTAGGTGCTAATTATTCACCAGAAGACAGACTTCACATACATTCTAAGGAAATAGCAGTCCTTTCAATCATGTCAGGAAGGGAAAAAGAAAGGAAAGAATTTAAAATTTGAGACAGGCACCACATTTTCCATTGTCTTCAGAGACCTTTGGATGATATATGATCTCTAATTAGAAGCAAGGAAACAGCAGCCCAGAAACATTCAAGAACTTTCCTTCTCTCCTTGGCCAACTGTCTTCAAAGAGGCCCTGGATAACTGGGTGCAGGTGGTTCAGAGCAATCCTTAACCACACTGAAAAAGTAGCTTGAAGAATTGTCTTATCAATCATGAGACTGCCATTTTATACCCAAAAGACATCTTATGGTCCTGGTCCTTAATAGCTCTGATGGTCAATATTTATTGTCAACGTGACTGGATTTGGAATGACTTAGGGACCACATACTGATGTGTGACTTAACTTAGGAAGAACCCTGAATGTTGGTACTCCCACGTCATGGATGGGGTCCCAAGCTGAATAAAAGGGAAGAGGGGGAGGCGAGCTGAGCACCAGCGTTCATCTCTCTCCGTTTCCTGACTGTGGATGCTGCCTCCTGCTCCCGCCATGTGTCTTCTCTGCCACGATGGACTGCATCCTCTCAAACTGTGCTCCAAAACAAACCTTCCCCCACTTAGGTTCCTTTTCATCAGGTATTTTATCCAACAGCGAGTAACTAAAACAATATCCACAGTTAATGGGCAATATCAGTGGTTAGTACTCATGATAATTCTGCTCCATTTCTTTGTTTCTGTAACATGTGACCAACTGCACACAACAGCCACGTGTACTATCCCTGTCCCTCATTGGTTCAGTCCTCTTTGGTATCCACTTTTCCTGTGCAAGCCAGCTCTTGCTTTCAACTCTGGTTTTCAGTTACGGAACAGATCTCAAGTGAGGAATTCTGCTTTTAATGGGAGAGAAGGACTCACAAAGATCTTTACCTCTTATACTTTTCCATTTTACTCATTTCTAGTTCTCCTTTTCCTCTTATATTTTTTAAAAAATCTTACTGATACCAGTAATGAACATTGTTTAAGAATATCAGAGAAAAGTATTGCTATTAAAGTATTGCTATTAAAGTATTTTTTTGCCATGGCAGATTATCAAAACTTTTTTCCCCCTTTTTTCTTATGGATTACAAATGAACTAGCTGAGTGGAATTGGTTCTAAGAAATAGGTCTAAAACTTTTAAACTCTCCACATCCTTCAGTTAAGTGTCTAGAGATAGTCTATTTCAGGATGAAAGCGTTGGGCTTGTATTCTGGTCAGGTGCTCTTCCCTCTCCTCTGCTATTCTTCAGACTGACAGCAAGATGGCTGCAGCAATACCTCGAGAGCTGAGAATACAGGACAATCCACATCTTCGATTCTGTTCACAGAGACACTGCTAGATGTCATCTTGCATCTCATTGGCTATCACTAGTTTATATACTGGGCCTGAACCAACCTCATGGTTTGAGCGATATATGCTTCCCTGGCATTTGAATGCTTGGTTCCCAGCTGGAGGTGCTGTTGGGGAGGCTCAGGAGGCAGGGCCTTGCTGGAGGAAGTGTGTCAGTGGAGTGTGCCATTCCCGATGTGCTCTTTCTGCTTCCTGCTTGTGGTTTAAGATGCGAGCTTAGGTTGCTGCGTTAGTCACCATGTCTGACTGCTGCTGAGCTTCCCTGCCGTGACAGACCCTCATCCCTCTGGAACCGTAAGCCAAACAAATCCTTCTGTGAGTTGCCTTGGTTATGGTATTTTATCACAGCAATAGAAAAATAACAAATAAATATTCCAAAGGCACAATATGTTATCCTTAGTTGGATTGCTGTTAGCTGGGGGAGTGGTCTGCCCCTGGGACACTTGGATCTGTGACACCTGAACACAACTGTGACTCTTTTAAGAATTAAGGCAGGGGTGGTGCTTTGTAGGGAATGAATCACAGTTCTTATGTAAAGCCAGGGTGTTCTACACTGGGGATGACAAGTAGTTACTTCAAGTGGGGCCATTAACAGAAAGGAACTCAGAGAGGAACAGTGTGAGTACTTGATTGTCAGAGTAGGTAAGGAAGCCACAGTGAGTGGATACCGCTGCCTGAAGTACCCTGATCAAGCATCCATGTATGAATAGGACCACTGGGCTGTTGTTCTGCTGGCGAGCTTCTGCTTCCACAGGGAAAACATGTGTTTGGAGCAGAGTTAGAGAAGCATCTAGAAGAAATGAACCCAGTATTCCCACAATACCCAGGTGTTTCATCAGCTGAGTGCTTGAGTCCTAGGGGAACGGTGGCATGGTCTGAGTCAGGTGTTTAGACGCAATCGGTAGATCAAAAACAAACTAGCCTTTTGCTGCATGGAACAGCCCGTGGCAGTGCTGAGTCACATCAAATTTCTTATTTATGCACAGTAGCAGTAGGAACTAGTAGGGTGAGAACAAGAACGAGAAGGACCCAGACCACACTCCCTTGGAATAAGTGGGCAGTGCTGGGAATTCTTGATTATCCGGAGCAGAGAGGAAGACAAGTGCCCAGCTCGCTGTAACTGGAGGTGAAAGGGTTTCTTTTCAGCAGCTTCAACTTGCAGATGGACATGAGGACACCTGCCTTTCAGTTCTGAGAAGTCCAACCTTACAACTGGACCTCTACTCCCATACCTTTGTCTACACTGTTCCTTCTTAGAATGCCTTTCCCAACTTGTTTATCTGAAAAACTTATGAGAGTTTATGAGGCTTTGGGACACCCACCTCAGCCCCCAAATGCTTTCCTGCCACTGAACTGACTGTTCTGTTGTCTTCAGAATTTCCCCATTCTCAGAAGCTCAGGAGGAGGACGTCAAACCTTTCTAGTTTGCTGGGACTGCAGTGGGAGGAACCGTGTCCGAGGATGCAGGTTTAGTGCTAAAAATCACAGAAGCACAAGGGAGAAAGTTGGATGAATTGGTAATTCTAGGCCCCCAGCCACAGGAATCAGAAGAGCCAACAGGGTGAGGATGCAAGAAGCAATGGATGAGACATATGTGAAGTGGTGGGAATGTTTTCTAAACCCTTCTTCAAACTTCATAGGCTTCCATCCATCCATCTGTCTATCTGTCCATCCATCCATCCATCCATCCATCCATCCATCCATCCATCCATCCATCCACCCATCCATCCACACATCCACCCATCCATCTGTCTATTCATCCAACATTTACTAATTCCCTGCCATTATATGTTAGCCATTGGCCTGTTGTCCTAGGAAGCGACTATGGACTCCTTCCCGCTCATTGCCTTACTCACAGCCAATGTGTCTGCTGGCCTGGGGAATCTTGGTAGACTTCCAGAGCAGTCTTGGTAATGCAATTTTCATTATAATTGTGGCAAGTTTAAGCATAGCTTGATACCACAGTTCCTCTGAGATACCCAGGAATGAAAATGTCCAACTTCAACTTATCTTTAGCTTAAACACAATTGTGTGCTATGAAAGGCTAACTTCTCACCTTTTTTATACTCTATCTGTAGTCATTGCTTCTGTTGGGCTTCTGGACTGTTCTGTAGGTGGCTGACTTTGCTTGTACAGACCTGGTACCACACTTCTGGTCCACCATGAATGTGCCTTATGAAGACAGGACACTAAAGTTTCCTCTTCACTGTTGGCTGTTCCTGTAACTTCCACTTCTGAGCTCACAACACCGACTTGCCTCACTGGAGTATTCGTCACACAGTATTAAAACACTTTGTTAGTTATTTTTGTCCCTAGATTATAATCTTTCTTGAGGTATGACTGTTCTCTGAATACCACTGAATAGAAAGAAGCCTAATAAATATCTGTTGAAGAATTGAAAATAAGAATAAATGAGAGAATGAGACTAAAGCTATGATAAACACATAGTCCATGTTTTTTTTGAAATTAGCTGAAATATTTAAGGATGATATTAAAATATTTATCACTTCTGAGATATAGCATCAGTTGGAATGGACCCTGACCCAGCCATGCTATGTTATGGAACTAGAGTCTTCCACTGTGCTGGATGTTAACTCTTTAGTTGCTGGATACTGGGGGTGAATGGTTTCCTAGAGAGGGGTCTGGTGTTAAGTATGAGGCATAGTTATTTACTAGTTGACACTGTGGCAGTTCAATATTTTAACAGTCACCCTGATCATCTGGGTGCATTTGGAACAAATTAGTCTCAGTCAGTTTCATTAATAATTATCTTTAAAATTAAAATGGATGCTGTGGAGTGTATAGAATGAAGAGAAAGGCTGCCTTATAAATAGACTCCGTTTCTATTACATGGGATAGTTCATGTAACCTTCTCGGATGTGTTTAATACACAAAGGTGGGAGAGTGGGGGTTGGGGATCGGGGTGAACTCTGCGCAGGCTGCATAGCAGAGTGGAGAAACATCGATATCGTCCAGAACCGTCTCCACTACCTGCCTCACAGAAAGAGTTCACGGAGCCCATGTGACAAAATCGTTCCTGCTGCTGTGGCTTTGGGGCAATGGAAGTGGTGGCAGTCCCACAGGACTTTCCAAGACTCTGGAACAAATGCCCTTAAACAGACTATCTTCAGTCAAAGGTGCCAAAGTGTTACATTCCTAAGAAATGAAGACTCTTGGACATGCTCAGAACTTTATGTTTCTAGACTTTAAAATTTGTCTCCATTTAATTTAGCCATGGTTGATGTCTGGTATAGTTTTTCTGGGCCTATGCTGCTTAAACACAGAATATAGAAAGGTTTTTGACTACAGCTTGGATGCTAATGAGTGCAAATTCCAGCCACATTTCCCAGTGAGCCTCTCTGACTTAAAAGAATTACACAAAGCCATACTCTCTAAGCATAAGGGATTTCCCATGGAAGAAGACAGAGTTCACAAAGTGCAGGCTTGTGTTAGGAAGGCTGCTTTCTACTCATTTTAATACATACTTTGAGAACACAGGGGCATTAGAAGAAGAGGAAAGTAACAGTCAAGTCAAGTCCTCAAAGATCCTGGGGAATGACTTCTAAAGCATTATAATAGAATGCAAGAGGCTAATAGAACACACCAGCAAGGAGAGTGCTGCTCTGGTTTGGGCTCTAATCTGATGGTCAGCACACTTGACATGACTGGATGGAAACAGAATCCTCAGAAGAATCACTGACAACAAAATAGGACAGAAGCCTAGAGGCATAGCCAGAAATTGCTAACGGCACCAAACAAAGAAAGGTCACCAATAATACATGAATGTGGGATAGCTAGAGGTACGGGGAGACTGAGAAGGGGTATCTCATTAAAATACGCTGTCAGAACTATGCTATTGATGCTTATTGTTACTTATGCAGAGGGAATGATCTGATGTGCAGGCCAAGATTCATATTCAAAGATGTCCATCACCATGCTAGTTAGCATAACTCAAAAGAGTAAATAATCTTAAAGGTCAACAGTAGGAGAATAATTAAAGTACAGTGTGCCTATATCTCCATGTAGCTGTAGACATGAGTCTATGTCTACATGGGAGTTCTTATTGAAGTTAGAAAACAGTAACATTTGTACAGTTCAGTCTCATTCCTGTACACAATAGCAAAGTAGCATTTTGCTGAAATAGTAATTTATGCACCCCCTTCTGCTTTTATCAACATGTATTAGTTTTATAAGTAACAGGTTTTATTAATGTTTTTCTGCTTATAACTTTCTGTTCTTCCCATTTGACAAAAGAAGCTTTGTAAATCTTGGCTTCAGAGATCTGAGCAGCAAACAGTAGGCTAGAGTTAGTTGCCCATCAAAATATTACTTTTGTAATCAGAAAATGCCATAAATGTTATTTTAGAATGCTACTAAAGGTTCCACCTTAAGCATCACGGTAAAAATCATGTGATATCATTAAACTGTGCTCCCTCCCCCTCCTCAGAGCAGCCTGTGGCACTGCGGCCAAGGATCCTGGGAACTGTCGCTCCTGCTGCACAGGACATGAGACTGGGCAAGGCTTCGGAGCACTGGGTGTGTTCAGAGGTTGGACAACTCCTTCCAAATCCACGTCTAAGCTAACACCGCAGTTTCTACAGAGAGCAATGACGAAGGGTTGTTTTGCACATACACAGTTCACCGGGAAAGCCAAAGCTGCACCATCTTTCTGCTAGTCTCAGCGTTTTATCAAGTCCTACTTCCATGGTGACACCTTGTGGTACCTTTAGAGTCATTCAGATTGACTCAGAACAGTATAAATTTTGTTGCAGCCCTATTCTTCAATGTTGGCAATTTTTTGTAGGGTCTAATTTGTAGCTTATTAATTGTAGCAGTGTTTTTCAAACTTCTGCATTTATAATATATATAATATATATATTTGTTTTGTTTTGAAACAGTCTCATGTAGCTGAGGCTGGCCTTAAATTCTCTATGTAGCCAAGGATGCCTTGAATTCCTGATTCTACCTTCATAATAGGTGTACACTGTTGGGAATCTCAGGCTTGGGCCCCATTCCAAACCCCACCCAGATGTTCAGCTGGGAACTCAGCCCCACTCCTCTCCTTTCAACCCCCACCCTCAGAAAACCTTCCAAGCAGTGGCTTGTCCCTTGGAGCGCCTCAAGACCGAGTCTATAGGTTATTAAGGTCTGGTCCATAGACCTTCCACGTGGTTTCTCTTCTTCCCCTGAGATCACCCAGGGATGCTTTGCTCATTAAATCTGGACTTTTAATTTGGCTTGAATTGGCTTATTGCATCAGCAGAGTTACCCACTACTGGGGATATTTTTCAAAATACTTATCATGCACCATTATGCCCTCAGCCTAAACCTTTCATTTAAACAAAAGAACAAGTCATTCTTCAAACTGAAATTTATATACAGTTAGGAGGACAAAGAGAGGGAAGCTGAAGGTCCTGGCAAAGAGGTGATGGAGAGGCCCCAGAGCTCCCGGGTCTGCTCTGATTCTTCTTCCCTCCAGGTTCTCCCTGCCACCCAGAGGAAACCCGGGGCTTTGTCAGCAGAGTTAGGAAGCTGCAAAACCCACGCCAGTCATGAGAACGAACTCTGTTCTAACCAAGTTCAGAAAAAACTCAGTAAATACTGCCGTGGGTCTTTGGGAGGGAAGGAAAAGACATTTGGAAGTTCCTAGACCCCTTGCCTCTAAATTTCATATTATACTTTTTTTTTTGATTATGAAACATGAGAGTGATATAAGACAGACACATGGAAGACAATATGAAATTAAATCAAACCCAAAATTTTAATATATTCCAGGGCCACCAATACATTTGCACTACAGGAAGAGCGGCACTCTCGCCGTGCTGGCTCAGGAAGCATTCAAGTCTTAAGAGGCGTTTTTGGCTTGACCAGTTTCTCTATCACCCCCTGCTTCTGTTAAAGCCAGATTTCTCAGTGTTTCTTCACGGCTATCAGCCACTGATGCAATGGGTTAGTAAAAGCACTTACACTGGAGGATGGCTATGTGGCATAGTGAGCTGGTGGTTAAATACCAATCAGGACACGTAGTACACTGTCAGTGCTCAATCATGGCTATTCCTGTGGCTTCAGATTATGAGCCTCCAAGACAGTGTTTAGAAAAGACTTGTAGCTGCCAGTTAGAGTCCCCACAGTGCTTTTCACAGTCTTAAATCACTGATTGCTCAGGCCAATTGAATGAAAGCTTTTGGTCTGGGGCCTAGGTATTGATAATACAGGAAAATCACTCTGGTAATTCTTATGTTTAGTTAGGTTGACAGGCTCTGGACTGAGATACACCGTGGTGACAGGTTGTTCTGATTGTCAGCTTGAGAGGATCTGGAATCATCTAGGATACAAGCGTCTAGGCACACCAATGAGAGATTTTGCTGTAAGGTTAGCCCCGAGAATGTCTGTGAGGCATTATGCTGATGGGTTGTTGATGAGGGAACACACATCCTAACCATGGACGGAACTTGTTCCCTGGGTGAAGACTTTGGACTGTAAAAATGGAAGAGGTGAGCTGAGTGCAGCTTTCCTCTCCCTCTGCTTTTTGACTGTGGAAACGGTGCGCCTCCACTCCGGCTGCCAAGCCTTCCCTACCCGGATGGACTGTGGAAACGGTGCGCCTCCACTCCGGCTGCCAAGCCTTCCCTACCCGGATGGACTGTGGAAATGGTGCGCCTCATACTCTGGCTGCCAAGCCTTCCCTACCCGGATGGACTGTGGAAACGGTGCGCCTCCACTCCGGCTGCCAAGCCTTCCCTACCCAGATGGACTGTGTCCTGGAACCAAAATAACCCCCTTTTCCCTGTTACCTTGGCCTGAATACTTTATCACAACAGCAGGCCAGGCGAGAGGGGCTGGGCAGGGCAGTGTGTAACCTCCTGGGGACCAGGGTGCTGTGCTTACTGGGCCTGGGAAACTGAAGAGGCGGAGTCCAGCAGCCAGAGGTTTCGGAGAGATGCTGGGGAATCAGTGATCAGACCTTCAATACTCCCGGCCCTTTCCCATTTTCAGTGTTTCCCCACAAACAACTCACCACATTCTCACAGTAGCCTTGTAAAGTACGTGAACAGAGGGTATATGCCCATTTGAAGGCAGTGAAACTGAGTCCCAAACACATCTGGTTACTCTCCCCTAGTCAAATACACCTGGTCAGTGCAGCCACAGTGAAATCGAAGTCTTTTGGCTCCCGGGGCTTTTCCTGGATGCATTGTATCACTTACTTCCTTGCTGGCTAGCTATTTTTTACTGGCCTCTTAATAGTGCGAGTCAGTTCTAAGAAACTTCCTTGTTTATAATGCGAGGAGCTTTTTTTCCCAGGAAAGTTATAAACAGACTAGGAGATGCTTGAGGGAAGTAAGTGCATCATTTCTGCTCCATATTGCATTAGCCAGGCTTTGAGGTACAACCAAGGTGACATACTGGGGAGAATTTAGTTTTCAATTTATATCAACAACAAACCCTGGTGCTGCGTAGGTGTCTGGGCTCCCAGAAGTCCAATAAAACTTGTGGACGGAGACAAGTGTTTTACTTGATGGATTTCAAGCAACTTGTATTCCAGGATACCTGGGGGGAGACTTGATGTTCTCAGGGTCCCATGAAGTTTCCTAGAACCTATTACAAAGTAAACTTTATTCTGGACCCCAACACACACCCTCAACCTTTCTGCTCTTCCCAGGTCAACCGTCCCAAACTGGATCCAGCCCTTCAGAGTTGGAGCACGGTTTCTTCAACATCCTGGCACTGTTCAGTCAGCGCAGCATAAACTGTAGAGTTTCCCTGCCCTTTGGGATCTGTCGCAATCTTAGTGTCATAAGAAGGGTTTACAGGAACCTCTGCTTTGCATCTTTATTTGTGGTCTCACAATTGGTTTTGTAGTTGATCTGGAGTCAAAGAAACAAATGACCGCAGCATCAGGATGTGAGCTGGCTTAAAAAAAAAAAAAAACCGGGCATGGGCTCATTGAGATGCAGTCTTCTGGGAAGGAGGTTTGTACAATAAAAGAGACTATCAAGGTGTTTTTCTTTTTTGTTTATGCTTAATTTTTAAAATTAGGCTTGGTTTAGTAATTTATTCTGAGACTTCAAACTACATGCACAATCCCCCCAGGATGTGAAGGAGTGAAGGGCAAACTATTTTAAATTTTGTTTCAGTTGTGGCTGGTGAGAGCAATAGTGTCCAGACAAATCTCTGTGTTCTTCCCGCAAGGCTAGACCCAGGAGGACTGCAGAAACAGGCAGGAAAGTGTCAGCATTATGGCTCTCTCTCCGATTCTGGTCAAGGTCACTATCTTTATAGTTTTTGAATAATTGTCCTGATAAAAGATCAGAACAGCAAGATAAGTCAAGAAAGCAGACCCCAGGACAGTCAGTTGTCCTCAGATATGCTATGTATTTGCCACAAGGCCGGTGGCCTTTCCCTCTGCCCTACCACATCATCACCATCATAAATGTCATTACTGCTGTCAACGTCATCATCACAATTCTGTGTGTGTGTGTGCGCACGTGCGTGCATGCGTGAAAGAGAGAAAGAGAGAGAGAGAGAGAGAGAGAGCGCATATGTGCCAAGGCACATGTGTAGAGGTCAGAGGACAACCTTGTGTAGTTGTTTTATTCTTCCCACTTTATATGGATTCAGGATTGAACTCAGGAAAAAAGCAAGTGCTTTTGTTATCCATGAGCCATCTTACTGATCCCGCCCTATCATCTTTAATGAGTTACACTGGGTCCCCTAAAAAGATATGTGTTTAAGTCCTGACTCCTAGGACTTCAGAAGGTGACCTGAAGTCCTAGGAGTAGGGACTTAAACACATATCTTTTTTTTTTTTTTCAAAAGTAGAATCATCGCAGATATAATAATTGAGCCATGATCATCCTGGAATATGGTTGTTGTGGAATGGTGTGCCAGAGGCCTTGGCAAGTTCGAGCCAAGGAGACAGGCCATGCGGGTGGTGGTCAAGGGGGCATGATGGGAAGTTACTCACACCATGCAGACACTGCATCCACGTGGAAAGTTTTATTAGGAGGAAGGGAGAAGGGAAGGGAGGAAAGGAGAAAGGAGAAAGAGAGAGAGAGAGAGACAGAGAGAGACAGAGACAGAGAGACACACAGAGAGACAGAGAGAGGGAGAGAGACAGAGACAGAGAGATACAGAGAGACGGAGAGAGAGACAGACAGAGAGAGACAGAGAGGCAGAGAGAGAGAGACAGAGACAGAGACAGAGAGACAGACAGAGAGAGAGAGAAGGTGCACACCTCATGGGGATAGAGAATCAGATTGTGAATGAACTCCATGTAACATCAAAGGAAGAGGCTGGAGTGATACTGGTATAAGCCAGGGAGCACCAAGGATTGGAAGTCACCTCTGGGAGCTGGAAAGAGGCAAGAAGCTTTCTCTCACAAAGAAACGGCCTTGTTGAGTGCCTTCACATTTGACTTCCAACCTCCCAGAACTGCTACAGAACAGGCGTCTGTTGCACCACATCACCAACTTGTGATGATTTGTGATTGTAGCCCTTGGAAGTCAGGACACCATTCGTCAGCTCTTAGTTCAGTGTTGCCTTTGGAGACGTCCAGACCCATTCCCACATGATCTAGCACACATCCTCCACCACTTCCCATTTCCTTTCCTTCCTTATGATGTTCAGCAATTCCTGCTGCATTTGTCTCCTAGTTGGATGGGAGCTAAGTAGTGTCTGGCAGAGTGGGCGCTTTTCATTCCCAGTAGTTTGGTTTGTGCCTGTCTTCAGCATCTTTAAATGCGTGCCAAGTGAGTCAATAAATAATGATTAAATTATACTTAAAACTTATTTCTAGCTTTTCACAATTATCTGGAGGCCAATACTTTATGAACAGAAGTTTTCTTGTTAAAACCCTTTTTATTCGAGAAGAGGGATTATTTTCTTAGAAAATTGAAATCATGCCTTTTTGTACATAGTCATAATGTTTTTCTTCAAACTACTGAAAAAATATTTAGGCTTATTGTACAAGTAGTTCTCAAGTTGGAAATAGTGTGTGATTAAAAACAAGAGTTGCTTCAATTGTCTAGAATCTCTTTCTTTACTCTCCTACATAGAATTTAATTTTGAATATTTTTCAGATATTCTCTTGAAGGATTTGCCATTCATGGGATGATTATTCTCTCTGAATATGAAGTGAGGCAACAATCTGTCCTGTCCTCAGAGTCTTACACCTTTCTTCTCAGCCGCTCTTATAGGCTGTCCAGTGTCTCTCCTGTGGCCAGGCATCATGGAAGAGATACTTGAAAGGTAAAAGCATCATGTCCAACTATCACGTTACACTGAAAGTGTTTCTCCTCCCCTTTGTGCATGTGACCTGACGCTGTTAGAAACATTGCCAAAACTCTTATCTTGGAAGAATTTATTTTTTTCTTTTTTTTTCAGATGTATTTATT